GTGGCCGCCCTAGGGGAGGGAGGGAGGGGTGTGGGCAGCCTTTGGCCATCTCTCGGGACTCCCAGGACTGCTAAGGACAGTTGGAAAGTGGTGCCCGGCCTGGGGTGGCCTGGAGGACCTGGTTCCACCCATCGGGAGCGTTTTGGCGTTCTGGATCCCCGTGTGGGAAACTTCTAGACCTGGGGAGAGGGCCCCTGCCCGGGTGGTGCGAGCCGCTGGATGTGCTCCTGGTGGAAACGTGGAAGGGTAGGGCTCCTTCTTGATGTCCGGCTCCGAAGTAAGAGGTAACACAGCCTCCGCCCTCGCCACGGTCCTCCGATCTTTCTTTTGGGGGATGTGAGAAGCTCGTTACATTTTCAGAAGCTAGTTTCAAAACTGACATTTCAGTGGAAAAAAAAAATCACAAATGTATTTGCCAAGGCCCCTGAGTCTTTGTAGTTCATCCTTTTTCTTTCTCTGTTACTCTTTTTTTATCTGTTCTGGTTCCTGACTGCTTGTTCACATTTTGCTATTCTGTTTCATTCAGCTTTGTCTCAGGGTTTCTTGCACTGATGCTCTGGGCGCCGCGGAGGACGCCTTTCCTGGCTTTGGCCTGTGTGAATTTTTTTTTGCCACTTTGGGAAGGGGGTGGGCCAGAGGAAAGTATCTAGAGCAGTTGGTTCACACAGGGTTCTCCCTGCACCTCTACTTGGAAAACCCAGACTTGTGGAGTTGTGCCTCCCTCCCAAGTATCACAGCTCTTTTTACTGGGGCAGAGCTGGGTTTTCTGGGACCAAATGAGAGGAGAGAAGGGTTTCCCAGGTGGGCGTCAGAACTCAGGACAGGCACTTAAGCTCTATCTTAAGTTCAGCAGGATCTCCCAGATGATAAGCATGGCCGTTCGTTTGGCAAGCATTAATAAAGAATAAAGATGAGCAGCGTTTCTCCAACTAGGGTCCCAGGGCTAATCCTCAAGGCACTTCCAGGACAGTTGGTTTTTCTTTTGTAAATAACTTCTTTTGATTTTTGGACAGTTTTTGATTTATAGAATTATTGGGGACATAGTACAGAGAGTGCTGATATAGTCCACACCTGGTGTCTTCTTTTTTTTTTAAGATTTTATTTATTTATTTATTTGAGAGAGAGAGAGAGAGAGCACGCACTAACAGCGGGGAGGAGCTGCAGGCTCCAATGTGGGACTCGATCCCGGGACCCTGGGATCATGACCTGAGCCAAAGGCAGACACTCAACCAACTGAGCCACCCAGGCGTCCCCCCACACCTGGTGTCTCCTAAGCTTAACACCTTCCTCCAGGAGAGTTTTTACATTCTGTGTTTCTGTGTTGTGGGTAATCTCGATGTTGTTACTAGTTATAAAGATAACATTGTCTTTTAGAAGTAATTCGTAACTGAGGCATTTGTGAAAGGGGGAAAGTCCGCATTTCTCAGATTGAGATCCTCAGTCAGGGATGATACAGTCTCAGGGGTCTGAAAGAATGTTTCCCCCTTGATGCTCAAGTAACATTGATGTGGGGCTGAGAACCTGGGTTCTGGAGTCAGCCAGAACCCTGGTTTTGTTCGTTCCTCAGGGCTGCCATGGCACACGTGATGGCTTAAAACAAAAGGAATATATTCTCTTACAGTTCAAGGCCAGAAGTCTGAAATCAAGGTGTTGGGAGGGTCACACATCTTCCGGAGGCCCTGGAAGAGAATCTCTTCCTACCTCGAGCAGCTTCTTCTGGATCTAGGCCTTGCTTGGCGTTTGTCAACAGAACTCCAGTCTCTGTCTCTGTCTTCACATGGCCTCCCCTCTGTGTCTCTCTGTCTTTACTATAAGAAAAGCCCTCTCTCTCACTGGATTTAGGGCTCACTCTAAATCCAGAACAATTTTATCTTTGAGAGCCCTAAGGGGGTGGTTAGGGCTCGGACATATATTTTCAGGGTCTGCTACATGGACTAGATCCGTGCCCTACTAGTATCTGTCTTTGTGCCTCAGTGTGTTTATCGGTAGAATGGGGGTAATAGCAGGACTTTGTGGCATATCATGTGTTTGCTCAATAAACTAATACTTTTTTGGTGGTAGCACCTGCTCCCATTATAGGCTGGGCCTGGCGGTGACCTCAGACTTGGCTGGGTCATTGTGCAGGGTGAAGCAGAACTGGTTCCTGAGCAGGCATGGAGAGGGGGGCGCACAGGGAGGGATCGCTCTGAAGTGTCCCAGGGGAATGTAGAGTACCAGGGCTGAGGTGTGGGGGTGCACCCTGCTCCTGGATCTGCGAGCAGGCCTGGCCCGCCGGGTGTAGACTGCTAGCCCGCAGTCCCTTGGAGAAAGTCAAAGATGGTCCAGCCACTGTGGGGATGTGCGGGGATGCGGCGGCTGGGTGGACCGGGGGCGCTTGGGGCCTGCTAGGAGCTTTAGGCCTTGTCTTGGGATGAGCTTCCTTCCCTGGCCTCCACATTTTCCAGTCTGGACCCTTCTGGGACCTGATTGCTTTGGCCAGATGAGAAGGTGGCAGAAGCCCTGTTCTGCTCACCGGTCTCTGGTGAGGCAGGGTCCTGTGAGCTACGTGTGATTCCAGACCCCCCGGGATTCAAATCTGTGTGTGGGTAGGGACAGGGAGGTTGGCCAAGACCCGAATCTCCCCCTGCTCAGGTGAGAGGTGAGCCTGAGGTATGCTTGGGTGCTGGCAAGGGTTCTGAACGCGGGGTCTGACTGGCGTGGGTCACTGGCTGTGCGGCCTTGAATGAGCCACTTCGCCTCCCTGAGCCTGTTTCCTCACCTCCAGCTGCACCTGCCGGGGCGCAGCCTCGCTTTCCCCCTCAGCAACGGGAATGATACCACTTGGGGCCCAGAAATTTGGGTGAAGCGGA